TGCTTTAAAAAAAAAGCACCGACTCACCAGGTGCTGTTGGGTGGGGGGTGATCCCTGCAGCCCCTCATTGCCCCATGCTGCATGGGGGCTCTGCAATGGGCCCCCTAACCCCACCTCCCTTTCCTGCTCTCCTTGCCCCCCGACCCACGGCTGCCCCGCCCACCCAAGCCCTTTAAGAAAAAAACCTGAACCCCTCCCCCTGACCCCTGCAGTGGCCTTGGGGCTTTAGGGGGCTCGTGGAAGAGCCCCCACATGGTGTGGGGCAGTGGGGATCACCCCCCCACACACCCAACAGCACCTGGTGAGTTGGGCTTTTTTTCTTTTTTCAAAGAGCTGGGGCGGGTGGGGCACCCATTGCCAGGGCTGGGATTGCGGGTGGGGGATGGGCCTGGGTGATTCTGCTGAATCAATTTGGGACAGTGATTTGAATCACTGAATCGAATCACTGTCCCACAAATTGGCCAAATCCGAAGTGAATACTAGCTGCTTCGCACAGGCCTACTGCCTAGATCCTCAGTTTGTGTATTGTATAGAAGTAGGGAGAGTTTACAGGTCTCTGAAATGCTCCAGCTGACTCTGCATAGAGCTGGTCTTTACCAACAACCTGATTCCTTATTCCTGAGGACTTGTTTTAACAAAGTAGTTGGTATATTTTAATTTCCCCTGCAGTCTTTTTTTTTTAATGCAAGGTCCAAAATGATGATGCATCATATTAGCACAGCATTAAAATGGATATATAATGATCCTATTGCCTCGTCTTGTAACTCCCTGAACTGTACCTTTACTTCTGCTGTCTCAAATTCAAGCTGTTTCACCTTTGATTCAAAGGCCTGCACAGTTTTGCCTATCTGTATCTTTACTGTCACTTTCTATGCTTTTTCCAGTCCTCCTCCCTTTTTACACCATCTACCCACTGCTGTTCTCAGTTGTGAATTTCTTATCCTGACATTACACTTAAAATGATTTTCTTCTGATCTTACAATTTCTGCCTCCTCTCATCCCTTTTTAAACCTTGCTTTTATGACTCCCTTTCCCTTCATCAGTGGTCTCACCACACCCAGCCTTCTCATTCCTGAGCTTTAGTCTTTTGTCTCGTTTGCCTTCACTTTATTTGATAAAGTGATTTGGACAGGGAAACCTTACTCTGCTTTTGTAAACTACTCTGACCATTTTGTAGTGCAATAATAATAACAATAATAATCTATTACTAACTATATTTGCTAGCAGTAACTTGGCAATTTGTAGGGGTGGAATGTCAACAACTAATACCATTGACTACATTTAATTACAGTGTAAAAACATGATTCTGAGGAATTTTTCCTATAGAGAAAAACCAAATTGAGGAATTGTACTCTATACAAATACATTTAGAATGACTGAAATTCTGAAAGGTAATGGTTACTGTGTAGTTGTAATAATTAGGTATCTGTCTGTCTCACAAGACAACAGAATTATGCTGCAACATTAGCTCATTGAATGCAGTCCTCGCTTGAAAGATAAAGGATATCTGGTGTGACCTCTTCAGGGTGCAAAAGCCTGGGCAGTATATATGGACATGTTGAGCTCTCACGCAAATCAAATTCTTAAGTTTTTTTCCACTCTGAAGATAGTACTTGATTTTATTTATTTATTTTTTCCCTCTACAGATCCCAAAGGAAGATGGAGAGTTCTTTTTGGGAATCTGTTGGTCATAAAGTCCCAGGGTATGGTTTACAGGTAGGCACTTATTCCTCATTCCCTCTGTTCTGTGTCCTCGAGTAGTTCTTGGAAAAAACATGTCACTGGGGACTGGGTAGCAGTTTTGGACTCTAGAGAATGGGTTTGAGGAGAAGGTGATGTAATGGACTAGGCTTCAGATTTGAACCTGCCAGTGTCATTGAAAACAGAGGTTTAAACCCTAGCAGGAATTTTGTCCTTCCTACATAGTTAAGTCAGCTGTTTGTAGGATCATACATCTATTCTAATTATATGTTGTTTATGCATATTGGTTGAATTATAGGTCCCATTAAAAACCCCTATTCATTTCAGTGAGTCCATGCTTTCATTCCTTGTCTTTCAGAAAAGGCCTTAATTTGTGTTTATCTCCCTTTGGTGAATGCAGAAATTCTAACTGCATTTTACATAACAGCAGGATTTGTTCCCATCTTTTTGGCTACAAATTCCCTTCATATACTGTTCTGTGTAGCCACTGTCCTCCACACTAGAACCAGCTCCATTGGTGAAGCTCTGTGTGTGTAGTTGTGAGTTTCCTGGGATAAAAGTAATTACAGAAATGTTTAGTTAATGTCTAAAATCTCTGCAGTAGAATATAAAACAGATGGATCTTTTTGTGAATAATATCAGTTGTATAAAGAAAAAGATGAAGGCAGTACCATTTGCTTCTGCATCATACACATAGAATTAAAGCATGGAGAGTATATTAACGTATCTTTCTGGCTAATCGGCACTGTCCATGGGTGCTCATGACTGTGGTGTTTTAAATGGCTCTCTCTCAAATGATGCTATCTTTTTAATTCCAGTTTAAAGATCCTGACCAAAATCACAAGTCTCAGAGTTCTCCAGTTGCTGGCCAGGAGAGGGCACCCCACAAACACCGAGACCGTTCCAGGTCAAGGAGCCAGTCCCGATCTCCTCAGAGACACACTAGCAAGAAGAGTACTTGGGAAGAGGAATCTGGACACCAGAGGTCAAGATCTCCATCCAGACACAGTAAACGGTGAGTGTGGAATCCTACCTGTGGAAAGATCAGAATAAAGGATACCCAGGACTGCTTTCAGGGAATGAGTTTTCAGAAATTAGTTATATGCTCAGCTGCAAAATTTCTCCTATTCCCCTACCCATCTCTTTGTAACACTATTAAAATATTCCTGTAGCACCAGTGTCTAACTTCACTTTATCCTAATAACTTGAGTTTCAAAGAAGATGGAACTACAAATACCTGGCTTTATATCCCACCATCAAGGGACAAATCTTATTGCTATTGTAAAAATATCCTGAGGCACAAACAAAGCTGGGAAAGAACCAATTTTATTGAAAATCCTTGTATTCCCTCTATTGCAAAAGTGAGTGGGCCAGGGAGTAGCTGAAAGACAGCAAGGCATCAATTTCCTCCCTCTGTAACTTTGGTCAAAATATTTGGAGGAGAGAAATTCTGCAGCACCATAAGGAAGCTGGCAGTGTGAGAGTCTCTCGGATACCTTCTAAGCATAAGAATAAATTAATAACAAAAAACCAAAAATTGCAGGCTGAGTTGTCACCCAAAAAATGCTGGAGACTCCTGGAAGTCCATTGGTTTTATATGAAATGCACTTAGGTACAGTGGTGATATGCAGCAGTACAAAACTGCATGTTTGATATGTATACCCTGGGGGCAGGTT